ATTTTTTACTAACCTCACTAGTACATAAAGCAGATATTAAAAATCAAAAGAGCCGGGCATGGTAGTGCTGGTGCACGCCTGTAATCCCAGCACTAGGGAGGCTGAGGCAGGAGGACTGCTGTGAGTTCGAGACCAACCTGGGCTACATAGTGAGTTCCAGGTCAGTCTCAACTACATAGTGAGAGCCTGTCTCAAAAAAAACAAAACAAAACAAAAAAATCAAAAGAGAGGGCTGGGGATCTGGCTCAGTGGTTCCGATGCCTGCCTCACAGTGCAAAGGCCGGAGTTTAATCCCCAGTACAAAAACAAAACAAAACGGAAAACAGAAAAGCAACTGAATCAGAAGGACTCGCAAATTTTGAGAACTATATACATTCTTGCTGTATATGACTACTGTCAAAATAGAGGCAAAATAATGTCTCCCACAACAGATAAAAAGCACAGCCTATTTGTAAGTAATAAGACTAATTTCAGACATTAAATCATGTAACCTCTAAATTCAAATAAATTAAATACCTGTGATAATAAAAGGCACTGTGTGAAATATGTGTATCCAAAGAGGTATATCAGAATAGACTATCTTCATCCCCTAGCAGTTAAGGATCTTATTTTTTTGTTGTTAGGTTTTTGTTTTTGTTTTTTGACACAGGGTCTTGCTGTGTAGTTCAGTATGTTCTTGAACTCACTGTAGCTCAGGCTGACCCTGAATTCATGGTGATCCTCCTGCTTCAGACTCCTGAGTGCTAGGATTATCAACATGTCATCACATTCAGATTTCCCAAATAAGAAGTTAACATTAGTATGAATTTTTACAGAATTCAATCTACCCTCTTTAACCTTTCATATTTGTCAGAAAACAAATTAAACGTGGTATGTAAAAATTTGTGTGCTCAGATATTTGGAAAAGAAGACCTAGCTAGATGTCTAATTCATCCTGGAAAGAAATGTGACAAACACAGGAACCTATAAATGCTGCTATACTCTTACAGCAATACTTTAATAGATACACTGTGGGGTGAATTATATCTCCAATTCCTAACTACATGCAAAACAAAGTCTGATGAGACAAAAAACAATACTGGCTATGTTTCACTGGGTTTCTGGAAAACCTCAGCTTTAAGTTAATGGCAAAGGGTCCAGGATTTAGCTCAGTGGTGCCACATCTGCAGTCCTGAGTTTGATTCCTGGTTGGTGGGGTAAGAACAGTACTTTGTATCTCACCTTTTACCCTTAATATCAATTACCTCCAGGAAATTCAACAGTTATACAACCCACCTTTTCTTTTCTTTCTCTTTTTCTTCTCTAGCACTGGAGATTGAACCCTGGGACTCCATAATGAGCTATATCTCTACCCCTTTTCTTTTGAAATGGGGTGTCTCTAAACCACCAAGATGCCCAGACTGGATTTGAACTTGTAATCCTACATCCTATTTTAGCCTCCCACATTACTGGGGTTACAAGGGTGTGTCACCATCCTAGCTTCTTTTGCAAAAGAAAACTCAAAAGATAACACCGTCACTGGACCACTGTTTCTTTTTTCTACTATTCAGGAATAAAACAAAAAAATACTTGTCTTATACTTGAGTTATATAACAAGTACTCAAACTCGGAGGTGGGCTGAAAGGTAAAGAATGTCTCTTATAACATGTATTAATGATCACATATTATAGAGCTCCCGGTAAATGTAACCAGTATCATCTCATTTTCTGTCACATAATCCCCAAAACTTTTCATTTTAAATACTGAATATTCCTTAAAAATAAATCTGGAGGTGGTGTACACGTGTAATCCCAGAACTAGGGAGATTGAGGCAGGAAGATTGCTAAGAGTTCGAGGCCAGTCTGGACTACATAGAGAGACCTCCGGATCTCAAAAAACAGGAGAATTTTATAGTATGCAAATTAAATCTCAATAAAAACAAGTAACTGGTTATAAAGTGGGAGAGGGGATACACTTTCCACTATCCTCCAGCTGTCAACTTCAGTTCAAACAGAACCTTAGCTTTAAGTCTCTGCCAAAACAATGGGCCCAAATCACCATCTTTTCTAGATTCTTCCCACCATCATTGTCTCATTAGCACTTCAACTGTACCAAGTCTACAAGAGGAACTGGGACATACGGATTTTTTTCAACCTAAAGCTTGATGGAGAGGCATCAAATCTATCATCTACAACAGAGGCCTCGAAGAGATCAACTGTGGCAAATCATGCTGTTCTCATTTAAACTGCAGCACTAACTACATATATTTAGGTTAGAAAAGAAACACTAATGGTCTGATTCTCCTGAGACTTAATAATATTCTAAAGAAAACTGTATATCATTTGGTACCTTCCCGTAAGGACAAGAGATAACTGGAATAAAGATGTATTCTTATCTATATTGGGAACAAGATAGTTTCATAAAGATTTGCCAACTAATCTAGCTTCTAAGAATTAAACTCAGTCGGGAATAATGGCACACGCCTGCAATCCCGGCACTCTAGGAGGCTGAGGCAAGATGATCATATATTCAAGCCCAGCCTGGATAATTTAGAGACTCAGCCAAACGCTATCTCAAGTTAAAACATTAAGCGCTGAGGATGTAGCTCAGTGCAAGAGTACTGCAAAAATGAAGAATAAAAATAAAACCAACTATCTCTGATCTTGAACGATTTTTTCCTAACAGCTATTTTCTTCCTGTATGTACCCTGAACACTAATTGGTGTCATAGCCGACCAAAGACCTCTGCTTGTTTATTTTGGTTCGGGTTCTAGATGCACTCAGGGTCAACCTGTCCACCAACCTCGCTCCGGGGAAACACGAGCCACCGCGGGGAGGCCACAGGAAAAGCGTGTCCCCGCGAGGACCTGCACACCAGCCTCTGGTTTTCGCCTTTTGAATCCCGAGTAGGAAGTGAGACGGCGCCCGCTTAGTTCCGGGAGCTGCGGCGTCCGTGGCGCCGTCCGGAGCC